TCCCATTTCTAATCTTCATCGGTTTAGTAATTAACTGCTAAACGTAGAAAGGCTGTATCATAATTATTCACATTAGACTGAAAAGTAACATCATATGTTATAGTAAGAATCAGAAATTTTGCAGAAAATCTCCAAGATGTTTGATGTTTTGCAATCATCTACATTTAGAACCATCAACGAATGTGAATTATCATGAATTATCTCTCATTCAAGTCATTCACAATCAGGCATGAACACAAATTTTTATGTTAAGGAGAAGAACTAATAAAATTTTAGGAGGTAAAAATGTATAATTAATAAAAAAAATATCTAAAATATATGAGAATTTTTAAAAAATTCAGGTAGTGACTGTCTCCACTAGGGCCGTAAACAACTCAAGTCGAACTCGAGTATTGTTGAGCTCAACTCAACTTGAAAACTCTAAATTTAGGATCGACTCGATTTGAAAACTTGTGATCTTAGAACTGTCAAGTTCGACTCGAATTCGGAAAAAATTGAATCTCAACTCGACTCAGAAAAACTTGAACTTGAAACATTCTCAGACTTTGCTTGATTGAAGCTCAAATTCGAACTTAAACTTAAATTTTTAGTACATAAAAACCTTATGTTATATTTAAAAAACACACATAAATATTAATATTATTAATAATTTAATTTTCAAAATAAAACATTAATATGTTATTTTTTTTAATTACTCACGAACTTTTAAAATCGAATATCAAGTGATTCGAGTTGAACTCATTCAATTCGAGTATTAACTAAACTTTGACTGAACAAATCTCGAATAACTCACAACCTATCTTTATCTTATTTACAATACTCGTCTCCACCTACTTTCTTTGGTCCATCCTTAACCTCCATCCATTACCTTCTGTTCATCCCTTTCTACAATAATCTCATTTCACTTTGTGGTAGAGAAGTGAAAGAGGACTTAAAGTAAGAAAGTTATCGGATAAAATAGGATTCTTGGCTGGAGGTAAGATGTGGCTTAAAAATATTTTGAATGTTAAGAATATATTTTAATTTATATATATGGCTGACATTTAATAATGATATAGAAAATTCTAGTTCAAGCTTATAGATTATCAAAATCCAAACAATAAGAACACCATAAATCCCAACTCTTTCCGAATCTCTTTCTCCACTTCGCTCAAACCCTAGCCATCTTCCTATCCATCCTCCTCTGGTTAGTTCCCTTTCCCCTCTTTGTTTTCTTTCTGCTCATTCATTGATATAATTATCATAATCTTCTTCAAATCGAATGCTTTTTCCTTTTCCCTTCTTCCTTGGTTGCATAATCAGTATTATTTATTTATTTAGAAATAAAAGTGATCGATTACAAGGTCAGAAATCCTGAATTTGTTGCCATAAAACTTTCACTTAAACTCTCAAAACTTGGAATATTTTGGTTTTTTTATAAACACGTTTAGCTTTAACGTCCTTTTGCCTTCCAAAAGCACGAACTTATGATTTTTCTTCGTAATTTGATAGAATTAAGCTCTTGAAAGTTTGTCTTTTTAATATTGCTGCATATAGATTACAATTTATGTGGAAAAAAAAACAAAAGTTTTAGATAAATGGAGAAAGACGAACTGATTTGAAAATGGGTGTAACTACATCCAATGGATTCTTGACATATCATATATTTTGCGGGCCTATCTGTAATCCACGTTAGAGAGAGGAAGAGAGTCCACGTAAATTTTCTCGAGAAACCTCTCTATCCCCTGCCTTCCCTTATTTTGCTTTCTCTATTTCCTCACCTTTTCGTGTAATCTGTGAATTGCCCTAATAAGTTGTAGTGGGATTGTAATGGTTATTGAATTCTGTTATCAATATGAAAGTTTCTAACATTGTTGTCTGCATCTTCTTCTTTCGTAACTCTTATTCCTTATACTTTATGGTTATTATGTCTGTTTGGTTCCCGAGAAAACTGAGGAGAGGGATATTTTTTAAAATTGAGTTTACTCTTTCCATGAATTTTTTGGGTACAGTACCTTTAAATTTTTCTTAGAGGAAATTGAATTTAATTTATTTTTGACATCTCAAAAGTAAATTTAATTTAGGTAAAATAAACATTTTTTTTTGCTCCTAGGAGTTTAGCTGTTACGAGAGAATCGTGAAATGAAAACTAGAAAGTACACGAAAATGATAAAAGTACTTTCTTTTCTTCTTTTTTAAATAGATTACTAGATTTTATAAATTTTGCGTAACTCACGTATAACCCATGTTAAACATGTGAATTCTATTTTCACATTGTTTCTAACACATCTTAGGAGGAAAATAATGGTTAAATTTCAACACAATTTAGATGTCTTTCTGGGAAGTGGGAATTTTTATCCTGTAGTTTCGATTACTTTACAGTTTGTACTATTTTCTTGAAGGACTTTATGTTTTTTTAGGGATTGTGCTTCATATTTTAATATGTGGCATTTCTCTTTGGTTTTAAGTTTCTGGAATAGTGGTTGATGATTTTTGTTGTTAAGCAAAACTTTTTTTGCTGAAAACACTGATTATGTGATTGTTTTGTCAGGTATTATGCTCAAGTTTCCTTGCGCTGGCCAAGATCTGTAGTATGGTGGCATCTTGTGTTTGCTAACAATGAACTTTGGATTCCTTAGCATTCCATGGTTTGATGTTGATCCCAAAAGGGATTCAAATCTGTCTTTTGCTTCCATAGAGCCTAAACAGAAAACTAGTTTTGAGATCAGGGTGTGGGGATGGACCCTAGTTTCAGTTCCTCCTAAGGCAGTGAATGGTAATGATAGAAATCGAACTCCAACCACTATAAACAAAGGATTAAAAAGGCGTGCACAACAAAATCAGGTTATTGAGCCTCCCGCTCCTATCCGGTTTAGGCCATATGTTTGCAAGGTTCCATGGCATACAGGTGCTAGAGCCTTCCTTTCGCAGTTATTTCCACGTTATGGGCATTATTGTGGTCCTAATTGGTCAAGTGGGAAAGATGGTGGATCCCTTATTTGGGATAAGAGGCCAATTGATTGGTTAGATTTTGCTGCTATTGTCACGATATCGGTTACGATACTCACGACCAGGCAGAACTTCTGAAAGCTGATTTAGCATTTCTAGAATGCTTGGAGAGACGTCATATGAGCACAAGAGGTGATCCCCATATTGCTCAACTTTACATGACAATGTGCACCACAGGTACGTCTACTATTCAGTGTGCTTTAACATGATTATAGATATATACATAAATATGTGTCTGTATAGGGGAAGGAAATAGAAAAGAAATTGTATGCAATTTTTCTCTATTTACTGCTTCCTGTCCCTTGTTTTCGAGGCCAATCTTGCAATGAACACGGTGATGATATTGATTTGATGCTGTTCTTTTTGTCTGTGTTGAGTTAGTATGTTTGTTCTCAGTGCTCTACTCAATGAATGGCAGGTCTGAAAAATATACTAATCCCATATAGAAGGCACCTTATAAAACTACAATACGGGCAACCTCTAATCGATTTTGGATGGATTAGTAATCTAAGAAGGAAAAGTTGGAATTTTCGGAAAACCTGAAAGCAGTTCATGCAACCTTGGTGAGCAGGTTATTCAGATGGCCTGGCAACTGCGTTTTCGAACGATGTTCTGTCCTATCAATGGTTTCATCGGTGTTGACTTTCGAGGGTGAGCAGCTTATCATCATGCTCTTCATATGGAATATGCAATCCTGGTCTTATTTGAATTTGAAACAAATGTTGTATGATGTAAATAATTGGTGCTGCCTTCGTATGCTATTTCAAACTGTGAATATTAATTCAATTGACTTAGATAATAGCACAGGCCATGAATCAGTTAGTGTTTATGGGGGTGTAAATATAGAGTCTGGATATGGCTATAAAATTTAATCCTTTGTTGGCACATGAGAAGGTGTTGTAGTCTAATTTTTTACAGCTATACACAGTAAACATAGAATCTGGGTGTACCATATTATTTTATGAACACTTCTATCAATCAACTTAATATTACATGTATTGATAAGAATAAACATTTCATTTAAGTAATATTGTTAAAGATTTCATGGTATACATTTTTTTTATTTATCTATTGTAACGTCTTTTAAATTTCTGATGTTGATTTCGTTAAGATTTTGAGTCGAAGATCTCGTATGAAATATTTTAAATTTCAAAATCAACTATGATGCCAAAACATCTCGAAAAGAGTTAATACTTATAGAGTTAATATTTAGAGTTGAATTCGTTAAGATTTTGAGTCGAAGATCTGATATGAAATATTTTAATTTTCAAAATCAATTCTAATGTCAAAATATCTCGAAAAGAGTTTTAATAAGAAATTATCAAGTGGTTGACATATTAAATAGTTTGGTGGAAAAAAAATAAAAGGTGTGGTCTTTATAGGATAATAAGACCAAAATATAATTGAAGTGGATTTTATCTTAAGTTTATGATTCAAAATTAAAAATTAATTATTTTTGACATGCGAAATCGTCATCAAAGTTAATAATATAATATTAAATTATAAATAGTTGATAATATACGTCTCAAAAACTTAAAATTTTAAACTTTAGAGATCAAAACTAAAATAGAAGTGACCAGAATGGTAGTTAACCTAAAAAAGGGTATACTACGAATTAAATTATCTAAATATTATTGTGGCTTTATTTTGGTCACTCAATTATTTCTTTAAATCATATATAACGTTATGTTTTTGTTTCGATATAATCATTCATCGTTAAAAAATAAACAAAATTGTCAATATGATAATTTTTTTAATGATGATATGATTTTATCTTATGATAATATGTCAGCATACTCATTATTTTGTTAATGACACATGACTAAAACAGAACCAAAATATAACGTTAAGTGTGGTTTTAAAAATAAAAGAGATGAGTGACCAAAATAGATTCAAAATAATAGTTGAGCAACTAAATGCGTAGTTTACCAAAACAAATACAGTGCACTGCTTGTTACCGATCTGAATTAAGCCTTTCGAAAATCTTCCGCTATCAATTGTTTCAGAAAAAAATATGGCTATCTCCTAACACAAACGAAGACAAGACAAAGAAATCTCAGGCTTCGATTCCATTTCTGGTGCTTTAGAACCATGGCTTCTTCTCATTTGTTCCATAATCAGAGTCTCTTCTTCTCATCTCCCTTCAAAAATTGTGGCTTATCAAATGCTCCCCCACCAAAAGTTCATTTTCAAAGAACCCCTTTTGTCAAAGCATCCAAGAAACAGCTTGAGGTCCTTCTTTTAGTTACTCTTTCTTGGTTTTGCTTTGGTTTTAAGTCGAAAGCTTATTGTTTTAGTTATTTTTTTCATGGGTTTTATTTGTTTAGATTGTATATGACCCTGATGAGAGGCTAAATAAGTTAGCAGATGAAGTGGACAAGGAAGCTCCTTTTTCAAGGCTTACTTTGTTCTCACCTTGTAAGGTAATTTCCTGCATTTTATTTGAATTTAATTGAAATCGATTTTATGTTTTGAATTGCAAGTTTGAACCATACCTTTTTTTTTTCTTTGGGTATATAGATTAATGTTTTCCTGAGAATTACAAACAAAAGGGAAGATGGGTATCATGATTTAGCATCTCTCTTTCATGTAAGTTTGTTATTTCTCTCTCTTAATTCCTACATATACGTATATATGTGTATGTTGATTGTTGATCCCCAAAGTATCTGAATTTGCTTAGCCTTTTGTTTGTGGATCCAGACAGTGAGTCTGGGGGATATAATTAAGTTCTCTTTGTCACCATCCAAAACCAATGATCGTTTGTCGACCAATGTCTCCGGTGTACCCCTTGATGATAGAAACTTGGTGAGGTTTCAATGTTTCTGCGATTTCGTTCGACGCCTCGCTGCAAGTCCTTTTTTGTTCTCTTGTGTTCCTAAATTTGTTCTTCCTTGTTGCAGATTATTAAAGCCCTTAACCTCTACAGGAAGAAAACTGGCAGTTCCAACTTCTTTTGGGTAAAGAACTCTAGCTACGTGATAAACGTTGAAATTTTACGTTTTTATCTGAATATATGTGCTTCTGCAAACTTATGGTTTATTTGAATGTATTTTTGGCTTATATTGTTTTTATTGGAATGACATGGATAGGTTCATCTTGATAAAAAGGTGCCTACTGGGGCAGGGCTTGGTGGTGGAAGCAGCAATGCAGCGACCGCACTTTGGGCAGCTAATCAGTTCAATGGTTGTGTTGCAACTGAGAAGGAGCTCCAAGAATGGTCGAGTGAGATAGGTTCTGATATTCCATTCTTTTTCTCACATGGAGCAGCATATTGTACAGGTCGAGGTGAGGTATGGTAATATTTTACCTTGTTTTTTGATTGGAAAGCACATTGTCGGGAATATTTTGACCATTTTGTATTATGGAATGAGGCCAGTTTTAGAATCCTTCTCCAATGATAACTTCATTTTTTGTGCTGTAGTTTCTCATATCCCTTCAAAATTGTGAATTTGGCATTCTAATTTATTTAATTTGCAGAGAACTAAAGCTTCCTTTGTTCCTTTAACACCTGAATTTGTCGTAATATTTATTAGGACTGGTTGTAGGACTCGTAGGCTTTGATTATGTTTTTGTGTATTTGTTTTAGAGCAAAATTTGTGCCTAGATCTGTTTTCTTACTGTAGTCTATGTTACTTGGAATTGGATGAGAGTTTCCGACGTGGACGATTATCCAACCGGGGTATGTTCAATTTCCCCCCCATGGTTTACATTGTATTTTGGAGGGTTCTTGGAGGATCATATTCTATACCAAGTCCAGATAAGCATCGGACCCATGTATTTCGAGAAAAATAGAGTCAAAGCAACATAGACTGTAGTTATTATGATCTGGCATTCGCTAACGATGCAATCTCAGTCAATCGGAATGAAATTTATCTACTCCATTGCTATACTTGCATGATTAATGAACTCTATGCTGATATGCCCAGATTGTTCAAGATATATCCCCTCCTCTTCCATTGGACATTCCAATGGTTCTTATAAAGCCTAAGGAAGCATGTCCAACAGCTGAAGTTTACAAGGTAAACTACATTAGGTCGCCAGTGAGCGAATTCTGCTCTATTTTTATCACTTGCCATAGTTTATATCTGAGAGAAATCCTGGTTTTTCAGCTTCTTCGGCTAGATCAAACAAGTAATGTTGATCCTTTGACATTGCTGGAGAAAATATCAATGAATGGAATATCTCAGGATGTCTGCATTAATGATTTGGGTACAAATACACAAAGAATCAACTGATTCCATTCGCCTTTTATTTATTTGGCAATTACTTGAGTTTGATGAATGCATAATCTGTCAAAGTTTATTCTAGGCTGATGATTTGACTCCTCTCCATGAGAGGATGAGCTTTCGGTGATATATTATTAGCATACATCAATTATGTATTAAATTATCCTTTCTTCACATCTATAGTTTAATTCGACGTGCTTAATAATAGAATCAGAGATGTATTACCTTACATGAATCTGTATTATTTGCAGAACCTCCCGCGTTTGAAGTCTTACCATCCCTTAAACGGCTAAAGCAGCGGGTAACTGCAGCTGGTCGCGGACAGTACGATGCTGTGTTCATGTCTGGGAGGTACAAGATTGTGTGGAAAATGTTTAAATTTTAATGTCCGATCCAGCATTTATTGTGAACTGTCATGCTTAGAACGAACGAGAATCTGATGTTTGTGCTTAAACAAGATTAGATAGGGAAAATGCACGGATTAGTCTTTAAACTAAGTTTCATATATATATATATATATATATATATATATATATAAAACAATGAAGATAACATATAGATTTTCAGATTGTTTATCTGTTTGAGGTTGTTTATTTCTGTTTATATCATCGGGTTCCGAAGAAAGATGGCTGAATCTATTGGTATTGCCATTTCATTCAATTATCTTGATTGCTGCTATTTGAAAACATAATGCAGTGGAAGCACCATCGTCGGAGTCGGTTCCCCGGATCCCCCACAATTTGTATATGACGATGATGATTATCGAGATGTATTTTTGTCAGGCAAGTAGTTTAACTTGAGTTTTCTTTTTATCAGCCTCATAAAGAATTGGAAAGTTGGATGTTTGAGCTTTGTTACATCTTACATGACTTGGATTCATCGTTCTTTCAACATAATTGCAGTTAATAGTTCTATAGGAATTCTTAAAATGCAGATGCGAACTTTATTGGCCGGGAAGAAAATGAGTGGTACAAAGAACTTGTTTCGACGACTGTTTCGGAACCCTCGGAAGCATCGGGAACCGTTTGAGCGATTCGACTGCTCGGATGGAACTGTTTTTGCTAGTCTATTTACTGTCTTATTACATGGACAGTATCAATTTGTGTTTATAAATATTATGAGAATATGTTAAGTTCAACCTATTGAAGATTAATGCAAATGGAAATAAAAAAGTGCTTGGGTACTTCTCTCTGAAACAATATTTATCAGCAACCAACGCATTAGCATTACATGAAGGTTCCAGTTAAATCTCAGTTTATCATAATTAAAATATTAAGCCTAATTTTATTAATAAAACTAAAAGATCAATTAATAGTCGCGTCACAATATAGTTATTTTTATAATATTTTAGATTAAAAAGATTCAACTAAAATTTGACTTGCAATGAACTATTTGAAAATATTACTCAAGTTTCGTAACTTTAAATAAAAAGTAAAATCCGAGATCTATTAATTGATCAAGTGGTCAAGAATGTTCATATTGTCACACTTTGTGTGAGTTCAAAATTCGACATTTATTTTAAATCAATACATTAAGTATTAAAATTTTTGAGTTATTTGAGTCATATTGTATAACTCAAATTTTATTTTAAATCTTTTGAATTGAATCGAAAAGTTCGAATTTTTCAAGTTGAATTTTACTGGATAATTTTTATAGTAATTACGTTGGATGTTTCTTTAATTTTTGATTTTGGATTTTTTTTATTTATTTATGTATTTACTTGTTTATCCGAATAGGTTTTCAAGTTCGCCACTCTCTTGGAGGGGGAACCGGTTCCGGCGTGGGTACCCTGCTGATCTCAAAGATCAGAGAAGAATACCCTGATCGGATGATGCTCACTTTCTCCGTCTTTCCGTCACCATAGGTTTCAGATACAGTGGTTGAGCCGTATAATGCGACGCTTTCCGTTCACCAGCTTGTTGAAAATGCGGATGAGTGCATGGTGTTGGACAATGTGGCATTGTATGATATCTGTTTCAGGACCCTTACAATATTGTTGTACCAAAATTATGATTTGTGTTGGTTTTGTATCTTGATCTTAGTATATTATTGAATACTTCCCCTGATTTTGGTTATCATGTAACAGTTGGTGATTTGAACCATCTGATCCCTGCAACCATGAGTGGTGTCACATGCTGCCTTAGATTCCCTGGTCAGCTCAACTCCGACCTCTGGAAACTTGCTGTGAACCTTATTCCTTTCCCTCGGCTCCACTTCTTTATGGTCGGATTTGCTCCTCTCACCTCACGAGGATCTCAGCATTATCGTGAGCTAACCATCCCGGAGCTCACTCAGCAGATGTGGGATGCTAAGAACATGATGTGCTGCTACAGACCCACGACACGGTCGTTATGTCACGGCCTCAGCCATGTTCAGGGGCAAGATGAGCACCAAAGAGGTTGATGAGCAAATGATTAATGTTCAAAACAAGAACTCGTCGTACTTTGTCGAGTGGATTCCGAACAATGTAAAGTCCAGTGTCTGTGATATTCCTCCTCGGGGCCTGTCAATGGCATCTACCTTTGTTGGCAACTCAACCTCCATTCAGGATATGTTCAGACGAGTGAGCGAGCAATTCACCGCTATGTTCAGGAGGAAGGCTTTCTTGCACTGGTACACTGGTGAAGGAATGGATGAAATGGAGTTCACCGAGGCCGAGAGCAACATGAACGGCCTTGTATCCGAATATCAACAATACCAGGATGCAACAGCCGACGAGGAACTTGAATACGAGGATTGAGCTTGATCATGTCTTTGATTTTATATACGTGTAAATGGAAATCCTTACAGACTGCAGGTCAATGGGTTTATTTTAATCTTTTCCTTTTTGGGTTAGAGAACATATTTATTTTTAATCTATTATTGTATTTCAGTTTTTGTTAAAACTCGAATTAATTTTCCTTCTAATTCATTAATATTTTTATTTTTTCAGATCCTTCTATTTTCATAGCCATTAACACAAGAAGTGAGTCCAAAAAATAAGAAGATAACAATTAAAAAAAATGTGATTTTAAAGATTAAATTGACATAATATTAAAACGTTAAAATTTAATCTTTAAAATTAGGATAAAATAAAAAAAATATATAAATATTGATGACTAAATTTATTATTATACAAATTCTACTAACCAACTATTACGCCATATTTTTAGATGGTAATGTACCATATACCAATTTTGTTATTCATGGTTGAAGACTAAGAAAAGATTTTGAAGTCAGTGGACTATTTGCGTATTTTAACCAAAACTTTATTTGCAGACCCACTCCACAAGCACAGTAAAATTAATTTCAGCAAATCGCGACACCTTCACCTCTCTAATTTTCTACAACATTCAAATTCACTGATCCTTCCGATACCGATATTGTACGAGAAACCATGGCTTCAGGTCTCTCCTGTTCTCTTTCTTTTTCTTCCATTCAAAATTTGTTTTTGTATTACTAGCTTCGTTTTTTTAAATAAAAATTAGTTTAACTGATCGGTTTTTGGGAATTGGGCAGATGCGGATATGGAAGATTACGGATTTGAGTACTCCGATGAGGAGCCTGAGGAACAAGACGTTGATATTGAGAATCAATATTACAATTCCAAAGGTTTTTTTTCATCCATTTTTTTGGCATATTATTTCCTAATCTCTGTTTTGATATGGTTATGATCAAGAATTGTTTCAGTTTTACGTATAATACATTTATACTTCAAAATTTTACTTCCATTAGAGTTAGAGTACACCTTTGGAACGTGGTTGTGAACTGCTGTTAGGGTTTATGCCTATAATACGTTTATATACTTCAAAATTTTACTTCCATTCGAGTTACAATACACCTAACTTTACTAATGTTATTATTATGTTTTTTCACCAACGTTTCTTTATCTAATCCTCATTTGAGTGAGCATATGTTCTGTTAAGATCATTTTACCATTGTAACTAGTGTACTTATTATGCATGTGGGTGTGGATTTGCTTTTTCACACTGTCCTTTTGATTAATCAATATTGATATATCAGATACTGATAAGTCCCTAAATGGTATCTCCTATCCCATACAGTAGTGGTGGATGAGGGATCAGGGGCCAATTCTGTTTGGTTAAATGTGTAAAACCTTGTTGTTAGTTGACATTATTGATTTCACTTTTTATCGCTTTTTCTTTTTGCGTTTTTGGTTATCAAAGGTTTGCTAGAAACAGACCCTGAAGGAGCGCTTGTTGGTTTTTCTGAAGTGGTTAGCATGGAGCCTGAGAAGGCTGAGTGGTGAGTTCTCTGGAATTGACCTTTTTGTTTGTAACTTCAGGTATATTATTGTTATTACCTAGCATTTCTTTAATTGCTGTCAATGCTTTCTTGCTTTCCTTTTGCTAAATTTTCTTATGCTTTTGGCACATGCTAGCTACAATATATTATTTAGGAGCATATGCTACTGTTCCCTTTCCACTATGGATGGACTTCTCTCTTACGTCAACTTTACCAAAGAACTCTGTTATATAAATAGATTCTTGCAACCTTGCCGAATGCGGTTACTGTTTTATCTCTCCATAAAAAAAAACAATTGTCTTATTCACCAAAAAATTATGTATTTGGTTTGAGCCTTATCCATGTACAATGTGTGCTGATACTTCCTCTGCTAGGGGATTCAAAGCTCTGAAGCAAACTGTAAAGATCTATTACCGTTTAGGGAGGTATAAAGAAATGATACTCTTACCGGGAGATGCTAACGTACATCAAATCAGCAGTGACACGAAATTACAGTGAAAAATGTATAAACAATATTATGGATTTTGTTTCTGGATCAGCTAGTCAAAATTTTGATCTCCTGCAAGAATTCTATCAAACCACTCTAAAGGCCCTTGAAGAGGCAAAGAATGAGGTTAGATAGTATCTAATCTACAATGTCATAGCTTTGACATTTGTGTCAAGCTTTGCTTTATTGCTTCTTGTCATGCAGAGACTCTGGTTTAAGAAAATTCTATACCTTTGGCATTTGTATCAAGCTCTGGTATATTTCTTCTTGTCATGCAGAGACTTTGGTTTAAGACAAATCTAAAGCTTTGCAAGATCTGGTTTGATATGGGTGAGTATGGGCGAATGAGCAAGGTATCTTCTCAAAACATTTTTAAGTTCATTTATCCACGACATAGAATGTTAAAAAATAATCAGCTAGTATATTTCACTATCAGATTTTGAAGGAACTTCATAAATCTTGTAAAAGGGAAGATGGTACAGATGATCAAAAAAAGGGAAGTCAGCTTCTGGAGGTATATGCAATTGAAATTCAAATGTATACGGAGACAAAAAACAACAAAAAGCTCAAGGTAAATCCATTTGGGACGGTCCTGGATTATTTTAAAGCATGGTTGAATACTTTTTTTTTTAATAGGAATTGTAGGCCTCATTAAAAACCCCCTTCTTGAATAAGGAACTTATAATGAGTTCCTTCATCAGAGGAAGGAGGAAAAGAGTGCCTTAAACTTCATTAATGAAAATACATAAGATTACAACAAGAAGATAAGCCCCTTACAACAATTTGAAAATCCCAACATAAAATACCCCTAAGACACACTGGAATTAGCCAATGGCGGATTTAGCCAACCCATTAGCCTCAATATTGGCTGTCCTAGCAACCCATCTAATAACACCCTCAACTTCTTTTAGCTTAATTGTTATGTTCCTTACAAGAATGACAAAAATCTGAGGGCAGAAAGTTCCATTCTTAACCCAATCCACTGCCAATTTGCAGTCTGATTCTAACAACAAACGACCATTAATACCTCCTTTCACTGAATCAAAGAAAATTAAGCCCTTCTGAATAGCCCTTAGCTCCATCATAATAGGTGGACCTGGACCCGTGGCCTCCTTAAAAGATCCTAGAATAAGACCTTCCTCATCTCTTAGAATACCCGCAACTCCACTGCTGTTCCAATCAGAATTTGTAGCTGCATCCACATTCAATTTTACAAAGCCCTTAGGAGAGGGGGACCAAGGAATTGTAGTAACAATCGATTTGTTGAGAGGAAAGCATGAATCTCCAAGAGAAGGGTCCCCG